TAAAATTAACTGAGATTCGCACGACAGCGGCCGAACACTGCATCCCCTGGATCGCTGTAACCGATATTTCAGTCATATTCATGACAGGATTTTAATGCAGCGTTCAGCGGTCCAACGATTAGTGGTGGAGTGCGATCTGTCCAAATGACTATTTCCTAGCTAGTTGACCTGTCACCTAGCAACACTGCCGTGTGGAACCACTTGAACCTCGGTGCAAGTACAGCGCTAAAGACAAAGTTCGCGAAGAATCCTTCGCGCTTTTCTGTACGGCTTGGAGTACACCCTATAGCACCCTAGACAGTTGCATGGAAGTATCCCTAGCTGTCGGAGCACCAAGGAGAAACAAGGGACGAGGTTGGCATACTAGGCGGTGGCGAACGGCGGGGGCATTTTGCACTTTCGTTGCTTCACTAGTTCCGGTTTACAAGTCTCACTCTGGTGAAACCTGTGAACTCTTGTGAAGCTGGAGCAAGCTCGTCAAGCCATCATGGTAAAACCTGTTAACTCGGAGAAAGGCTGTCTAGATGGCTTGACAAGTTGGTGAAAGTAAGAAAAGTACGAAATGCTCACCTCCCCCTCCCTCGCCGAACTACTCCCAGAGCGGTAGTGAATCCAATACCGAATAAAAACGCATCCGATTGAACCAAAATAACCAAATGAAGGAGTCGTGGAAATTTCATGCTGTCAGCTTCGCTGTTTCCTTGGATGTGCTACGGCAGTCGATTATCTGAGATATTCCTCCTCAACCTGGCAGGGTAAGGGCTGCGAAAAAAAAGAGTATACGCTGAAAACATTCTGCAGTTTCTTTTTGTTGCAACTTCGTAAGGCAATACTAGTAAAATAGTCTAATAGTGTATGCTGAAAAGTGTTACATCTTCTAGATATTATTCTCATAAGAAAGGAGAAAGCGCTAGGTCGTTTACTATTTCAGCTCCTTGTTATAATGTCGGAGTCTTCGGTAAATGCACGAACGGAGGAGCTCCAAATCCGCGAGACTGCAATTTATGCCTCTGCCCTAATGGCTACGGTGGAACGCTCTGCGGTCAGCGAGTGAGTGGCTCAGCTCTCCGGTGGACTGTGTACATTCGTTCAACTTTCCAGGACAGAACTTTCAATGCTTTTCAAGGCCGGTGACTTCTGTCGTTTTCAGAAGGCAGGTTGTGGAGGCACACTAGCGGCGACTACTGCTTGGAAATCAAGGAATATCACGCTCGGCAATAATACAATAACGACCATACGTGAAACCTACACACAGTGCAATGACTGGATTACGGTAGAGTGATAACAGAATTTCTCCGGGAAATTGTTCCGGTTCGAGTTGATTTTAGGCACCAAAAAATAAAACCATTCAAATTCGAGTGACAGCCCTCAAGGATGTGATCTGTGCCAACGGCTGCGTATACAAGCTCAATCGAACCAAAGGTTATCGCAGATATCGCCATGACTAGCCCAAGGTGATTCTATTTTTCGATGAAGTCCCCGCTATTTTTCTCCCCTATGAAAGCAAGACGTTAAATTGTTGCGAAAAGATGTGGTCACCTAGACCCCAACTGCCCTGGAATCCCAATTGTAAGTGCGCTATAATAAAGAAAAAGTAGGCTCTAAACAGGCAGATACTTACTTCTTCATTTCGGAATTACGTCTGTACACTGATAAGGGTGCCCGATCTTAAATTCACTACGTACAAAATACACAGGACTTTGACTGTTTGATGTCGCTGATCCTTCAATAATGCGCCGTGCGTTCGCTCTCATTTGCAAATTCATTGAACTTTCACTCATGAATAAGATGGACGAAGTAATGAAGGAAGCTCCCGACATTGATCAGTCCCCTTTATGGTAGGCCACGAATACTACTTCCATTCGCACTGATGTAATGCCTGCTATGTGACCTATATGACGGTCAAACAAGTGCACAAAAGACTGTCTCCGCCCATATGACCATCGTAGACTGTCCCTTCAACTGAAGCAGATCCAAGGAGCAATCACTTATATGACTTTGAATATATAGCTCTATCTTGTCTCCATACTCAGACAGACTGGGATAGGCACTGGGACCTTGTGAAAGAGGCTTTACAGAACATCAAAAAGACTGCTCGAGATGTCTATAGCGAAAGTAACAAACCAATGTGCAAAGGGAATCACTAGAGGTGGAGAGGGGTTAGTACTGGAGATACTCGCAAAGACTAGGTACTGGTGTTGGAATGGAATCGCGGGGCGGTGTCCGTCCTACGTATTCCGCGGTTTCGTGAACAGCCGTGGGTGCTATATAACTGTCACTGGGTAGTTTCAATTACATAACAGATCACTCTTCGTAAGCTAACCTTTTATCAAACAATATGTACAAATTCCTGGATGGCGAAGCCAACCAGAGCATAAAAATGAGCCAGAATCTACGCCACTAGATTCAGACACTCAACCAAGCAAAGGAAAGGGTATTAACCCACAAATATCCTGCCATCTAGGATGTTGAGATCGGAAGAGCG